CAAATTACTTTAAGGATTAATGTGTACTATACATTTTTTTGCAATATTCGAAATCTTTAAGTATATAAATATTTTGAACTATTTATATTTACAAACATTTATATTTTTTGAGATTTTGTAATTATAATAATTTTGTACTTAATTGATAATTTATAATTAATTATAAGCTAGAAATATTAGCATTATTATTATCTAATTATTTATAATTAAAAAAAAAAGTCTAAAAAGTCTTAAAAGTCTGTCAAAAATTGTACTCAATCAATTTAATAGATATTGTTTTTATGTATATTAAAGTTGTGTAAAAGTCTTTGTCATTAAATGCAATTAATTTCTTTAATATAATAAAATAATAATATTAGTTAAGATGAACATTATTTTTAATATCTGATAAAGATAAAATGGGTTCCATTGTATCACTTTATTAATATAATTTGTATAAATAATATGCTAAGGAATGTTTGTTTAATTATTTATTGTATTATATCTATTACTTTTGTACACTTATTACTATTGTATTATAAATTTTTAAATCAATTCAAACCTTTGAATTGAAAAAGTTAAGTAATGATTAAATAATTAAGTAAATCATTGAATAGACTTCTCTAGGTATACATAACATACTGTTACAATATTTAAAAATATTTAATCATAGAAAGACATTTTTATATCTAGTATTATTTTTTATAGAATCAATAATCGTTTTTATGATTTAATAATAAATAATAACAATTGTGTTCATGATGATCATAAGAATAAAAAATGAATTGTTCTATTCAAATAAAATTATAAATTTCATAAGTTATTAAAATAAAATAAAATAAAATAATATTTTATATTTACTACATTATAGATTGCATAATATAATATTTTAGCTTTATTCGTTTAAAAAAGATGAAAAATTTGATAATAAGAACTCAAGAGAATTGAAATAACGACGAATGGATTATTTATAAAATTTTTGGAATATATAATTGATTATACACTTCATTTATTCAAACAATTTTTTCAATTAATGTTTAATACAAAAAAATAATTATTTGTAAAAATTGTGAATTTTGAGGAATTAAGAGTATATTAGAAAAATGTTAAAGTTTAAAAAGTTTCATAAAAATTAGATTGTAGACGATAATTTTAAAACTTTCATAATCAAAATAATTGATTATATCAATTTTCATTAATTTTTATTATAATAAATAATTTTCAATTAAAAAACATTATTGTGAACGAAATCTATTGTATTTTTCAAATACATAAATATGTTATCGCTTACTACTCTATAATTAAGCAATTACGAAAACAAAAATAAAATTAATAATTACATTATACATTACAATATTATTATTCGTACTAATAATTTTTTAAACTAATTACATAATTCAAATTTTCAATGAAACTGTTAAATCAAAGTAAATTGACAGTTGTATAATTATAAAAAACGAAGACATTTAGGAATTTAAAAAAAAACATACTTTGTATATATATATTTTCAATATAATTTTTGAAATACTAGAAGTCATTTATCATATTTTTGCATTTGTTTTTACTTTTAGTAATTATAATTTAATTTAATTTCTTATTTGAATAGATAATTTATATAAAAAAAAAAGTTCGTCTAATTAAAGTAGATTTTTATTAAATTATTATTTTTAATTTCGTAGAGTATATAACTATTGAATACAATTATTTTTTTTCTAGTAAATTTGTTAATAAATTAATAAATAACAAGTTCAATATTTTCGTTAGAATAATATCTAAAATTATTCCAAAAGGTTACTTTAAACTTATATTTCTAAATTTAATTATTTAACAATGAATTTATTAATTCAGTAATAAATTTCCGTTTAAAAATCATATATTTTTATTGCATAGACGTGAAAGTTTCGAATACAATAACGTTAATCTATGTTAACATACATAATTTATCATTGTTAATTTTATTCTTAAGATATCATATAATTTTATACAAAAAATTTAATGTAAATATTAATTATTTTTATTATAATCATTTATATAATATTAAAACATTTTAATTTCATTAAATTCAATTTTACATAAATTTATTATGAGTTAAAAAATAGAATTAGTATAAATAGACTCAAATGTAAATGAAATACAATTAATAATATTAGCAGAAGTTTCAAAGTTAAATTGTGTTTCATAATATCTACAATTGCTTACTTTCAAGTAGAAATATCACGAGTACAGTCAGGCACAATTTGATGTAGACGTTCTGAATGAATACATAACTTCTATTCCATAATAGATTCTTTTAATATAAAGTCTTATTTTATTTTAGACAAACTTCAAGTATGATGAAATTTATATGTTATAAAATAATTTTTTTCTTCATAACAAAAAAGTAAACGTTTTTCTCATTTTTCATAATGTATTGATTTAAAAATAGTATTCTTGCTCTTTGAAAATTACATGAGATAACTAAATATGGCAGTGTAATTTATTATTTAGTGTCCATTATTATATTTATTTATTCTTAATATATATACCTATATAAATAATATAATAATATAATAATAATATAATGTAATCATATAATAATGTCACATAATACAATATAATATAATATAATAATATAGTAATATAAAATAATATAATAAAATTATATAAATATCATTTTTGAATTGAACATCATTAAGAACAGATATTTTATGTACTTTTTGTAATGATTTAAATGTATTTATTTTATGTATTAGTAAGACGGTGTTTTTAAGAAAAACAAACATTTCAAAATTATTTTATCTATTATTATTAGAAGTGAAGAATCGACGAATACTCAAATAATTAGGTATTAATGTAAATTAATTTAATAATTATTTAACAATAATAGAAATATATTAAATATTAAAGAAAATTCATAAATACAAATGTTCTAAAATACTTGCCTTGCTTTATTTCAATTATTAAACAACTTAATAAAAAAAATAAGCTTATGCATAGGATAAATTACATAGTATGTAAAGTAAGTATAGTAGGTCAAGATATTATTACAATACATTGTAGTTTTATCTCTTATGAACAATTGTACATGGAATTGTAAGAGAAATACAATTTTCTTGTCGAAATTTTTAATTGAAATTAAATTTTCTAAGTATACATTAAAAATAAGATCAATTATACATTAATTAAAATCATAATTTTATATTTATTAGGTACAGTTATTTTATGAAATCTTAAAACTATGCATCATATATTTTGTACAATAGTACACAATAAATTTTTAATACTAATTTATAATTTATAAGAAAGTTAAAATAACAAATGATTTTAACTTTTTCATAATCATCATAGTATTAAAATTCTTTAAAATTCTTTTGCGTTAAATATTACATTACAATAAATATTGTTTTTAAACGATTAGAGAAGTTTTCTTTAATAATATTTCAATACAAACCTGTTAGATTTGTAATTATTTTTCATTAATTTAGGTATTATGTTCATGCAAAACCTTATTGTTATTCTAGTCAAATTAAATTTAATTATATTTTTTAATTCAATGACCTACATCATTCTATTATATCACTACTTCCATTCTATTTCTCGTAGAAGATTCAACCTTTTATTTAATTAACGTAACTTTAAAATTAAGTAAATTAACATTATTATTAACATTATTATTCAATATGACTATAATAATAATAATTATTCTTATCATAATAATATTAATAATTGATGAATACTAAATGACAAATATTATATTATTATAATTATTTTTTTAAACATTTATTTATCAGCATCTTTTTTCTAAGTAATATAAAATAAATAATTTAAGAAAGTAATTATTTTATGTCATATTAAACAGTTTTTAAAATTTTTTTAAAGATATTTTTTAAAATAAATAAGGTTTTCCTTCGTTTTATATAAAACAATCTCATTTTTAATAGTAGCATATTAATGGTCTAACAACAAGTAATTTTTAAAATTTTGTAGATGAGTACGGTATCGTGATTGAAACTAAATGTTGTACATTGAAAGATTGTTAAGATATTTTCATAAAAAATGCCTCAATAGGTAATGGACGTGCGATTAAATTATTGATAATGGATTTTTGAGAGTAAAATGAATCCTTGAGTTGGTCCCTTGGTAGGGCTTGCGTGTATGGCCTTGGAGTAGATGTCGAGCCGCGTGGAGAACGAACCGCGACTCTTGCGAGAAAAACTCCGCAATCTGTGGGAGAGGGAGAGAGAGTTACGGAGGGCTTCGGTGCCGCGGCGCGGATCGAAGTATCGTCCGGCTGCATCTGTCGATAGGTGTGCGCGCGTCTCTCCCTCTCTCCCTCTCTCTCTCTCTTTCTTTCTCTCTTCGTCTCTCTTTTGCTTTCTCGCTCTTCTTCGTTCACGGCGCCCGGCGGACGATAGACATGCGCGCGCGCAACCGGAGCCAGGGCACCGTTCAATATTCAACCCTCGACGGAACGACGGGACGCAGTCGCCAGCGGGCCGACCACGCAGACGTAGAGGGCGATCAAGAACGATATATATATATATATATATATATATATATATATATATATATATATATATATATA